AATAAGTATTTCCTCATATTCATGAACCCAGATAAAAATTTATTTTGGGCACAACTCAAAGTCAAATTTGGTGGGTTACGAACAAGTTATTTGTTTGCATATGGTGGCATTGTTATATCATGACCTTCTACAAAGCAAATCTTTACCATCACATTTTGAATCACGTTGAAATATTTGCAATTCATGAGGCAAGAGAGCACTGACTATGATTGGGATATCTAGTCCAACTTATTTGATAAGCATGTGGCCTTTTATTCTTCAAAAGAATTCCAATGGTGTTCTACAAAGAGATGCAACCTGCTTCGTCCGAGTTAAGAAACATAACGAATCACATTTCACCGAAGGAAATTTCGCACATAAACTCCATAAGACAAGAGAATTAGACACCCATCAAATTTATTCTAGTGACAACTTGGCAGATTTATTAATTGAGGCACTCTCTACATCTACATTTGAGAAATTGATGCACAAGATCAATACACATTGACTCAGAGATCTTTATTGCTATTAAAGAAGACTTGTTGATATGAGGGGGGGCTACTATGTACTGTACTCTTTTTTCCTTGACATAGATTTTGTCCCATTTGATTTTCCTAGCAAGATTTTTAACGAGATAGTTCCAAATGCAAATCCTACAAGAATAATGCACTCTTTTTCCCTTCACTAAGATTTTTTCCCCTAGGCTTTTTTGTTAGTAAAGTTTTTAACGAGACATATTTTTTAGTAGGTGGACATCCAAGAGAGAGTGTTGTACATCAATTGTGTGTCGATGCCACCTCTTGGTATTCTATAACCTATACATGACCTTTAATTTAGACCACTACAACAATTATGCCCTTTTGCGACGACATTTTTTGCGATGACATTTGTCGTCGTAAATAATACACTATTTGCGACGACATGTCGTCGCAAATACCTACCGTTAAATAAAATAACAATGTCGTCGCTAATAAGTTCTGTGTCGTCACAAATAATATTGGCGTGCAATTTTCAATGGCGCGGATTATTGGCGCCAAGGTAATCCGTTTTTTTGCGATGATATGTGAGACTATTTGTGACGACATTAGGCGTTGCAAATAGTTTTAGCTTATTTGCGATGACATTGTTTTACCGTCGTCGCAAATAATCTTATTTGACGATAAAGTAGGCGCGGGAAAAAAACATTATTTGCGACGACTTTAAAATATTTACGGTGAGAAAATATCGTCACAAATATTTTAGTATTTGCGACGACATTTTATTAATTTGTGACGATATTTTCGTCGCAAATATTTATTATTAGCGACGACATTTTAAATTTATTTACGACGAATATGTCGTCGTAAATAACTCTGACCTAATATCCCCCTTCTTCTTCTTCATTTTCTCCCGACGCTCTCTCTCTCTCTCCTGCAAATCTCTCTCTCTCTCCTGCAAAATCTCTCCGCCGCCGCCTCCCGCCTCCCGCCGCCCCCAGCC